CATTAAAGGGGTACTCTAATTGCCTCACCCTGCATCCCTGTTCAGCATGGAAAAAGCCAGAGCAGTCTGCATCCTTATTCTCTATTGGCAATTTGGGTAACCTCTTCAGAGGATGGTGTGATAAGAATAGCAGGTAGGATTGGCTAGGCAGTTAGGGTAAAAAGAAAAGTAGCCAGTTTCTCGTCTAAAAATCAAAATGTCTTTGGGCCTCTTAGCAACATACTCTGTTCCAAAGGCCAAAAATGTCAAAAGTATTTGGGAGTTCTTATCTAATCCTATAAAAAGAAAGAAAGAGTTCATGAATGTTATCAGAAGAACATGATGGGGAGATATGGGAGGAATTGGAGGGAAGGGAGTGGGCATGGATTTGATCAAAACACCTTATATCCATGTATGAAGTTCTCATGTGAAAAAAAAAAAAAAAAAAAGACCTAGCTCAGAGTAGTTTCCTTCCCTCTCTCTGTCTACATCATTCTGTAGCATTCATTACACTGTGCACTCTGAGGTGGGATTCTTGTTCACACTTGTGTTTTCTAGTAGAGAATACTCAGTTATGACTGAACAATCTAGTTCATTACATCCTTCCCCCTATAATCTCCCTAATATCTCACACTTTTTTGCAGTTGTCCCTTTTTTGTTATTAGTTTTGGTCATCACAGGCCAAAGTGATCACTTGGAGGCCCCTAAGATTTCCATTTCCCCCATCATTTTTTTGTCATTCAAGTTACCCCTGAAGTAGGTCCTCGTGGGGTGCTTCGGGGTGCAACAGGCTCAGGGTCAGATGAGTTCTCACTTGGGGCTTCACTTTCTTCCTCATCTTCAGCCTCAACCTGGAGAACAAAGTCTTCATCCCGAGTGGTAGTGTCCTCTTCACCCTGACAGGCTGCCTGCTGCCGCATCTTCTTCGGTTTGGTGGGGCTGCTCACCTTGGGACTCTTAGGAGGACCACCAGACACTGGAGTGGGCAAGGCTGTTGAGAGCTCTTCAGCCAGTTCCTGAAGATACAGAAGTGCCCTGTGGGATAGGGCAGAGTCAGAACCATCATTACCAGCATTAAACTGAAAGCCCCCCTTTCCAGACTTAGTTATTTTACTGATCCTCCCAGTAACACTATGAAGCAGCTATCAATTTACCCTTCCTCCCAACAGATGCAGAAACAGAAATTCAGAAAAATTAAGTGACTTGGCATAGGCGAGTCAGGTAACAAATAAGGAAATCTGAATCTAGGTTTTCTAACTCCAAGTCCAATGTACTTTTTAACTCTACCACATAGAACATAAAGGGCAAGGGGAAAGAAGGAAAGGCACATAAACATTGAAATATATTTAGTGGTAAAAGCAATGAAGACCTGGGGGAAGTCTGTGAAAAATGTGATGGAGAGCCAGGTGTGGTGGCACACGCCTGCAATCCCAGCACTCGGGAGGCTGAGGTGGGAGGACCACAAGTTCGAGGCCAGCCTGGGTTAGGTGGCGACACCCTGTCTCAAAACAAAAAAACAAACAAAAAATGTGATGGAATATGAGGTACAGAAAGAAATCCCTTAAGATACAAAAGGTTAGCAACACATACCACAAAAGTGGCTTTTTGTGAGCTAAAGGGTTGCCCACATCCCCAGAGCCCAGATACCACCCCTGCTTACCTGATACCTCATCAGTCTTCCCATCTCTCCAACATGGGCCCCACCCTCCCCACGTCACTGCCACCCCTCCACCAGGCTGTGCCCCACAATCCTTACACTTGGGCAGCCCTTCGGCGGGGTCGTTCCCCAGAAGGGGTCTCAAAGTCCTCAGGGGGTCTCTTTGGATGTGGAGACTCTGGCTGATCTAGGCCTTTGGACAACTTCAGCAGTAGCAGGTCTCCCTTGGACTTTTGACTTCGTTTCTTAGGCATGGGGGCAGATAGAGGGTTGGATTGATCTAAAAGACCAGGAACCAGAGGGGCGGATGGAGGTTTACGCTGCTGGGGCCTTTTAGGGCCTTTTGGTGTCCTACCACCTCTCTTTCCGGCAGGCTTTGAGGCCCTAGGGTTTGGGACCTTTGACATCTCTGAAGAAAGATCTGTAGAGAAGAATATGGTCTATGAGATGGGACTAGAGATCAAATTTCTTTGGAGTACATCATACTGCACCCAAGTTTGTAAGAGCCTGTGAACTCAATCTGCTCTCTTCAACCTTAAGATGAGCACGGGAGACACACAGAGAAAACAACAAGTCACACACCTTGTGGCTCCAGCCTGGTAAGACTTTCCGGCTCTGGAGGAAGCCTCCTCTTGTCAGAAGAGTCCTCAAATCCAGGCAAAGGAGCGGGCAATGACATTTCGATGGACGCCTCCACACTGGTGGTTTCGGAGGAGGCCTTGACATCAAGCTGGTTTAGATCTTCTTGTCCAGGAGAGTCTACCACAATCATGTTCCCCACGGGGTCGGCCTCCCCCAAGGCAACATAGCCGACCCCGCAGGTATCCATCAGCACCCCCCAAAATGGCTGCCCTGCACACAGAGATATAGCAATGAGTGGAAAACAGAAACTATGTGTAGAGGCTCAGATTTTTCTCTTTTCCTGTCTTTTCTCCCTTCACTAAGCAACCAAAGCCAAGCAACCTGATCATCCAATCACTCAAGAAACTACTGGGCCCATGATGGTTTAGTGGGTTAAGGAGCTTGCTGCCAAGCCTGAATGACCAGAGTTCAATTTCCCAATCCACATGGTGGGATGTGTGCTGCCACCACTCCCAATAAGTAAATGCAAATAAGCCACAAACACACACATAAAACTACAATGTCAAGCACACTTTGGGGAACTAGTAACATGATAATTAAGACAAGGAGTTGGGCATGGTAGTTTACACCTGTAATCTTAGCACCTGGGAGGCTGCGGCAGGCGGGCTGCGGCAGGCTAGGTGACCTGAGTTTGAGACCAGCCTGGGCTCATGGCAAGATTCTGTTTCAAGAAAGTGAAAAGACAGACAAGATCCCTCTTGGTACTTACATTTTGGTGAAGCAGACAACAGACAGTAAGAGATAAGAATAAGCTATTATCTATTAACTGCTCATACATACCAAGTACCACACTAAGTGCTTTAGATACACGATTTTAAACCTCATACATTTTTTTGTAGGGATATTGCAGTGAATACACAATAATTTAAATCGTCTTACTGTAAACCAATAAAACAAATCATACACATATCCCCCTCCCAAGAAGGAAAGAAAAATTAAGTACCTCTAGGAAGAGTTGCAACTTCCTGAAGAAAAAAAAGGGGGTTAAAGAATAGCTGCCAACCTAGTATGGTGGAACACCTGTATAGTCCCAGCTACTAGGAAAGTTAAAACAAGAGGACAATTTGAGCCCAGAAAGTTGGGACCAGCTTGGCCTTTAATATAGCAAGACTGCCGGACGTGGTAGTGCACGCCTTTGATACCAGCACTCGGGAGGTAGAGGCAGGCGGATCTCTATAAGTTCAAGGCCAGCCTGGTCTACATAGTGAGTTCAAGGCCAGCTGGGGCTACAGGGAGACCCTGTCTCAAAAAGACCAAAAGGAAAAACAAAACTATATATATATATATATAAAGACTTGTCTCCAACAATAAAATATAAAGAAGAGCTGCCAGCTACTATAAAACTTAGACCAGCTGGTCGTGGTTGCACACACCTACACATCTTTAATCCCAGCACTCGGGAGGCAGAGGCAGGCAGATCTCTGTGAGTTCAGGCCAGCATGATCTACATAGTGAGTTCTAGGCCAGTTGGGGCCTACAGGAAGACCCTGTCTCAAAAAGAAAAAAATCCGGGCGTGGTGGTGCACGCCTCTGATCCCAGCATTCAGGAGGCAGAGGCAGGTGGATCTCTGTGAGTTCAAGGCCACCCTGGTCTACATAGTGAGTTCCAGGACAGCTGGGGCTACCTACAGAGAGACCCTGTCTCAAAAAGACCAAAAAAAAAAAAAAAAAACCCAAGCTGAAGTAGGATACCTAGAGCTAACATCTATTTCTGTGAATATTAGTCAAGGAACAGATTTACTTAAGAATAGTTGTACCAAGCTGGGCAAGGTAGGGCACTCTTGTAATCCCAGCACTTGGGAGATGGAGGCAAGGATGATCAGAAGTTCAAGACCAGCCTAGAAGATCATGTCTCCAAAAACAAAAACAAAAAGAAACAAGAGTAAGAGTTTTCTGGAGCCTAGCCACCATTACATCTGAAGCTATAAGCTATGATACAATTAAAGAACGCCCTAAGAGAACTTTCTCACATTGACTAATCAACTACAATGGTAGGAAACTGACAGAAATAAAACACTGACCACCAAATCAAAAACTTGAGCATACAACTCTGCAGAGGCCCAATTTTGGTCCAGAATAATCTGTTTGCCCTTGACAAAGGGGGAGAAATAGTTCAGATCCCAGAAGGATCCTCCTTCCATAGGTCCAGACATTCCTAAAGGATAAAAAATTCATTGGACTCAGAAGAAAAGCGTGCTCATACAAATACTAAAATATAGAGCTATCTCCCTAGGAACAGCTAAAATTAGATTACAAACTGCAACAACAGCCACCCTTCTAACTCTAGAGCCCAGGATTCAATATAACATCATAAGCTAAAGAAAGATACTATGTAACAGTGTCATTGTTTTTTGGAAGATAGGAGACCCGTATCCCATTCAAAATGAGTATAAGCAAAAAAGGATTCAGGGTGGGACCTATGCACAGATAGAAAAGGAGAAATAAAAAGAAAAAAAAAGTGAAAGTACCTTTTCAGAATACAAAAACAAATTTCCAACAAACAGCAAAGTTACAGAATCCAGGAAACAGGAGAAAAGAATGGCAAGACAAGTAAGCTGGCAGGCAGCTTGAGTAAAATAAAACTAGACATTAAATCCACAGAAAAGCATAAATTATACTGCTAAAAAAATGAAAGGAAGGGCAGGTTTGAGAAAAGTCAACCTGCAAAGGGGGAAACAGGAATTAATAATAAAATGACATAAATGGGAAAGAGAAAGTGAGGACCCAACATTTGAATAATTTGTGGGTTAAAAAAAAAAATTTTATTCAAGGCCAGGAGTGGTGGAACACACCTTTAATCTCAGTATTTGGGGAGGCAGAGGCAGGAGGATCTCTGTAAGTTCCAGGCCAGTAAGGGTTACATCGTGAGGCCCTGTCTCAAAAACAAACAAACCAAACCACAACAAAATGTCCTTTGAAGATTTTTAAGACAGAGATCTTGCTTGATTCACTCCAGTATCCAAACTTGGTGCATGGTTAAGTGAAACAATTCTGAACTTTTTTCATTGAATGAATGAAAAAAGTGAGTAAATAGTATATATTTATTATTCTTCAACATACAAAAACCCCTTTAAAGATTCACTTTTCATGAAAGGCAGCAGCAGTGAGTGGTGTATTTTCTACTTAGGATTTTAGAATACAAATTTTGGACACATGGTAAAGGAAGAAATGTTTAGTAAATTCTTACTACGGTTTTTGCATCCCAACCTATCTAATTTCCTTGTCCAGGCTGCTAACCTGGCCACTTGGGTAAAGGAAAAATAATTGGATAACACTACATCTTAAACATAGAATTACTTTAAATACGCTGATTTAGGACACTGTCCCCCAACGAATTATTATTGTGTAATCGATGGCATATAAGATGATTTTAATAGTACAAAAATTATCACTTCTATCTGTCCGTGTTTTTAAACTTGCACAAACCTCTGTAATTCATGTTTTCAGTTTATACTGCTAGAGACTAACGCATGTAAACTTGAAAAGCAGACCAATCTTAAGAAAACACTACGACAGTTGAAAACGGCAAAAAGTGACGTTAGCAAAAAAAAAAAAAAAAAAAACCGGGCAAAGAGGTATGGTCATAATCTAAACCTCTCCTGCAACGTGAATTACCTCCGGTAGGGATAAAGTCGCCATCTCTGTCTTTCCCAGCATCCGGCCAACTTGCCGCCGGATAAAAGCACCAGACAAGGAAACATAACTGGCCCTTGGCTGCGCCAATGGGGTTGCAGCGCGCGGGGCACAACCCCCGGGGTTAGAGCCACTTGGAGAGAACTTGGGGACTGAACGTAACGAGGGGACTACAACCACTCTAGAGACCACCGCCAGCACTTCCTCAGTCCTGGCCGTGGGCGCAGCGTTCACCACTAGCCTGTGCGCGAGGCGAACCCGGATTTCCCTGAGCCCGAGGACCACAGCAGGTTCACCTAAGCCAAGGGGCGCCACGGAAACGGCGCCGAAACCTGGACTCAGGACTACCGCGCCACCCGCACCGAGGCAAGAGGATAAGAGATGCTTGCAGCGATGGGGGATGCTCGGTGACTACAGTGGGCTCGGAGGTGCGGGCACGACGGTGTTCTGGAGAAGCGGAGAGGCTGGAAGGCGCATTGCCTTGCGCCGGGAGAAGAGCTGAATCGGGAGTCGGTCCCCAGTGTCTTAGCGCTACGGCAAAAGAAGGGGAGGAGTAATTGTGGGTCCCCCGCACACCCCGTTGCGGTACACTCACCCGCGCCAAAGTCCTTCCGGAAGTCCAAGTTCGAAGATGGCGCCGCCTGTCCGGTCGCTGTTTTATGACGAAATCGGTATCGGCTCTTACTTGCCCCGCCCCCCGCCCCTGGAAAAGGTAACCGCAAACTCGGTCGGGAGTGCTCACGACCAGGCTTTCTATTAAACTCTGTGTTCCATAATGCAGCGCGTTTCCGCGCTAAGCCCTTTGAGGCCCGCGAACTCGTCCGCAGCTTCCGTGGCGCTGGAATGTTGCAGGGCTTTCTGGGAAGCGCAGCGACCGGAAGGGGAGGTCGGCGCCTGCGCGGCACCGCGGCTTCCCAGCGGCCTTGCTGAGCTTTGAAGACGCGCCGGCGTAGCGCGTTGGCCGTCGCCACTGAGCGTTTTGCTCTGCTCTTCCGCCCTAGCTGTTGGCCCTGCGGTGGGCAGTGCCAGGTTACGCAAACCTCGCTCTCGGACTGCTGCGGAGACAAACCCTCGCTTCCTGCCGCCCGGGGATCAATCCGTTTTCTGCCACCAGTGCAGGCAGGGATGAGCCGGGACTCATTCCAGCGGAGACTGGAAGAAAATGAAAGAGGGCTTAGAAAGAGGCCATCCTGGGAAGGCACGCTCACCCCAAAAGTGGGCCTTAGCATTCGCGCCACTCCCTCACTGGGAGTTGACCTACTGTGGAGGAGGAGCAAGTACAAGTTTTGAGTCGTTTAAAGCCGTATAAGTTTCCCAGGTCTGCCCATACCCAGATGTATAAAATGAACAGGAAGGGGTGGAATGAGCCAACCATTCCCTTCCTATGTAGTCCTTGTCCATTAAGTCCCTTGGTTAAACATTTAGGGAGAGTGTGATGCACACCTGAAATCCTCCACTCTGGAGGTGGGAAAAACAGGATCAGAAGTTCAATCAAGGACATCCTCGGCTACACTGTCCCCCAAAAATGAAAAAAAGGGAGAAAGACGGATGCATCAGCTCCCATCAGCCCTAAGTACCCAGAAGGGTAAGACAGGAAGATCTCTTGAGCCCAAGACTTCCAGCTCAACCTGGGCAACAGAACCAGAAACCCTATTTCTTTAAAAAAAAAATTGTCGGCCGGGCGTGGTGCCGGACGCCTGTAGTCCCAGCACTTGGGAGGCAGAGGTAGGTGGATTTCTGAGTTCAAGGTCAGCTGGGGCTACAGGGAGACCCTATCTTAAAAAGACAAAAAAAAAAAAACAAATAAAAGGAGTTAGCCAAAACCTAAAAGACCTTCAAAGGAGATACAATTCTCTTCTTGCAGAATTCCCTAGGTCCTAAAGTGTTTTGAATGAACGTCTTCCTCTTGTAGATTCTGGCTCCCAAAGTCTGAATGGATAGCTGTTTCATAGATTTACTTCTGTAATGAACAAATCTTTCTTAAATCCTGCTGCCTCTAATTAAGCATCCTTTGACTTAAACCATCAAAACATCTTTTAAGTTAATAACTTTACTTTTGGAAAAAGACATTCTCACAGCTCAAAGTTCAAGATACAAAGAGAATCATGTGAAGACTGTATTTTCAAACTGTTCACCAACCAGTCCCAACAGGCAACTAACCTATTTCTTGTTGATCCAACACAGATTCTGTATTTATCAGCCAGCCTACCCCCATTCCCCCCAGCTGACGAGTTCACCATAGTCCTGCCTCAAAACCTCCCAAGTGCTGCTGGCATTAAAATTGCAAGCCACCACACCCAGTTCACTTTTTAAAAAAAAAAGATCCACTGTTTAGATTTTATTTTTATATATGTGTGTGAGTGTCTATGTAAGTATGCACATATTCACATGGATGCCAGCAGAGGCCAGAAGAGGGTGTCAGGTCTGGAACTGGAGTTAACAGGTAATACTGAGCCACCTGATATGGGGGCTGGGATTAAATGCTGGTCCTCTGGAAGAACAGCAAGCACTCTTAACTGCTGAGCCATGGCTCCAGCCCTCAGCTCACCTTTAAAATTCAAATAGCAGCTACATATACTTTCCTATACCTGGCTACTTTCATTAAGAATACCTCTATACTGTTCCATTTCTGTATATAAAAACCTTTATATGACTGCTCAGTATTATAATAACATAATTAGTCCTACATTGATGCTATTGAGTATTTAGGTGGTTTCTAATTTTTTGCTATTATAGCAATGCTGCTACACATAACTTTATCTAAGTTACTTCAATCATGCTACTTTATGGGTAGGATGATTCCTAGAAAAATTGCTGGGCCAATGTTTAGGTAAGCATATTTGTAATTTTCATTGGAAAGCATTCTTCTTTTTCTGGGGGGGGGGGGTTTTTGAGACGGTCTCCCTCTAGCCTCATCTGACCTTGAACTCACTATGTAGATCAGCCTGCCTCTGCCTCCCGAATGCTGGGATTAAAGGCGTGTACCACCATGCCTCTCTGGAAAGC